CCTCGGTGTTGCTCCCGCGCCTCGCTCAGCCAGTGAGTGGGAACCGGTCTGTATGTGGGATCTGAACCCTCTGGCGGGAGCGCCGCCGCGCCTCCCAAGCGGCGCACTATCCAGCGCACCACCGGGCCGGCCCCACCGCCTACATTCTAATGCCAGTATTTTACTACGCTTGCTTTATTGCATATCTTTCCATTCATCTTATTTTTTGGTGCATTTCAAAGTTGCGGACATCGGTATAGTTCACACCTACGCACTTCAGCCTGCATGACATTAACTGGCATCTAATATTTGTTTATAGTTCCTTTTTTTATTTGAAATGAAGTGTACATATCAAGATATGCGCACATCTTAAGTGTACTGTGTAGTGAGTTCCCAGTGTAATTTTTAGTGACTGCAGAACATCCATTCCCATGGATGAACCGTGACGTGTCTAACCAATCCCCAATTACTGGGCATTCAGGTTGTTTCCTGATTTTCCCCCTTATAAAGAACACTGGGATGAACATCCTTGTATTTTATTCTTGGCTCACATCCAGGATTATTTTTGCCAACTCTGATTCCTAGAAATAGAATTGCTGGGCCAGGGAATGTACCTACTTTTAGGACTTATGATGCCTCTGGTGGGAAAGCCTGGGCCTGTCTTTTCTCCCCCCAACCATGGGGGATAGCACCTTCTCCCCCGGTCCATGGCCAAAGCCACTTCCTGGCGCTGATCAGATTTGGTTTCTCTCGCCCTCAGCTGCGCAGAAGCTCTGCCGCCTCCTGGGAATGGGGGTAACAGATTTCTCTCGAGCCCTGCTCACCCCCCGCATCAAAGTTGGCCGAGATTATGTGCAGAAAGCCCAGACCAAGGAACAGGTAGGTGAGGCTGGTGGCGGGCAGGCAGAGGAAGAGCCTGGCACCGTGGTATTGGGGCTTTAAACAATTTTTGCCATTTTTCTCACTCGCTCAACGGATTTTCCCTGAGTGACTGCTGGGTTACCAGCTCTGGTTAGATGCTGGGAGAAAAAGAAGTAATCACAGAGCTCAAGTTTAGGGAAATAGATAATAAAAGATAAATAAACAGAATGCTTTTAGACAGTGATGCCTTCTGTGAAGGAGGATGAGGTGGTCAATAAAATCCACTCTGAGGAGGTGATGTTTGGGTAAGACCTAGATAGTTCAAGGCAGACAGAACAGCAGGTGTAAAGTCCCTGGGACTGAAACATGCTTGGCAAGTTGGGGACATTAAGGACGTCAGTGAGGGAAGAGGACAAGGGCGAGGGTGGTTGAAGCCACAGTCAGAGCTGTCAGCAGGGGACAGGTCACATGAGGTCTTGGAGGCCACAGTAAGGAGGTGAGTGTTATTCAGAGTCAGTGAGATTTTAAGCCAGGGAGCAACTTGATTCAGTTTTTTCTTTTATGTAAACATTTCCTTGGTTGCTGCATGAAGAGTCGGGTCTGGGTGGCACAAGTAGAGGTAGGGAGTCATGAGGAGTGTACTGCCATCGTCCAGGCAAGCAGCAGTGGTGGCTCAGACCGGGGTGGGAGCAGGGGGTGGAGAAGAGTGAACACAGGCCAGGGAGGTTTGCAGAATCCAGCTTTGGGGCAGATGCCTCTCTGCTGGCCCCGGGCTGGGTACTGAAGTGCCAGGATGAAGGTGACACAATGAGGGAGATGTGGAATTTGGGAGTCACACTGACCCAGGTTCTACTCTCAGCTGGGGCATTATTGTTAGTGGTCATTTTACAGATGAAGAAACTGAGGCACAGAGAGGTTTATTCATGTGCCTAAGGTCACACAGCCTCTAAGTGGTAGAGCTGGGATTTGAACCCAGGTTGTCTGGCTCCCAAGTTCACGCTCTTAATTTGTTGTGCCGTAGAAATTGGTTTGTGGGGTCAGGGGAGGATTCATGAGCTAACATGCCGCAAGCACTTCACATAGTACCTGACACACAGTAGGACTTTAGCAATGGTCTGCTGTTGTTCGTGTCATCGTTCTTTGTGGTGTTTATAATCAAGAGGCTGGAAGGTGAACCATGAAGGGGCCCTTGCTCGGGGGCCCCTTCCCTGCTCGGTCCACAACTGCCTTGCCGGCTGATGTGCAGCCTGGGCCCTCACGGTGCGCCTTGCCCTGCAGGCTGACTTTGCACTGGAGGCCCTGGCCAAAGCTACCTACGAGCGCCTCTTCCGCTGGCTGGTCCTGCGCCTCAACCGTGCTTTGGACCGTAGCCCCCGCCAGGGCGCCTCCTTCCTGGGAATCCTGGACATCGCAGGCTTCGAGATCTTCCAGGTCCGCTCCTTGTACTGGAACAGGGGCTGTGGGGGCTTCATCACTCTGGGTCTCTGCCTCCTTCTTTCTGGGTCTCTGTCCCCCCACCCCGTTGCTGTGCTTCTCACTGTGTCCCTTCATCTCCTACAGCTGAACTCCTTCGAGCAGCTCTGCATCAACTACACCAATGAGAAGCTGCAGCAGCTCTTCAACCACACCATGTTCGTCCTGGAGCAGGAGGAGTACCAGCGCGAGGGCATCCCCTGGACCTTCCTCGACTTTGGCCTCGACCTGCAGCCCTGTATTGACCTTATTGAACGGCCGGTGAGCCCCTCGCCACCCCCCACCCTGGGTTCAAGTGCTGTGTCCTCCACCGTCTTCGTGATCTCTGTCTAGTCGACCTGCAGCCCTGTATTGACCTTATTGAACGGCCGGTGAGCCCCTTGCCACCCCCCACCCTGGGTTCAAGTGCTGTGTCCTCCACCGTCTTCGTGATCTCTGTCTAGTTTCTCATCTGCTGGGCCCTGGGCTGTCCATCGGTTCAGTGGGGAAAAGGATAGTGCCTGCTTCCTAGATCCATTGTGACCATTAGATGATCAGGACCAGGAATGCATCTGTCTCCAGTCAGTAGGTTAATCAGAGGCTCTCACCGTAACCACTGTTCTCAGCTTTGGTTGTATGTCTAAGTATTAGTTATAAGAACTAAAAATTAGGAGCAACCTAAGTGTCTGATGTTTGGGGATCTAACTTACTCTCCTCCTGCCATCAGGCTAACCCCCCTGGGCTCCTGGCCCTGCTGGATGAGGAGTGCTGGTTCCCAAAAGCCACGGACAAGTCATTTGTGGAGAAGGTAGCCCAGGAGCAGGGCAGCCACCCCAAGTTCCAGAGGCCTAGGCACCTGCGGGATCAGGCTGACTTCAGTGTCCTGCACTATGCAGGCAAGGTAAGGGTCTCGGGGCCGGCCTTGGGGCATGTGGGCAGGAGTGGAGATCTGGAGGTCTCTGCTTGGCTACAGATGTGGGGAGGGTGCAGAGGGAAAGCAGTGGCCACGTGGTGTGCAGACAGAGACAGGGCGGTGGCTAGGAGAGCCCAAGGAGAAGCAAGGGCTCTGTCTGATGAAGGAAGCAAAACCTTCCTCAAGGAGGGGACATTTGCAGTAGTTATGAGGGAGGTGTAGGAGCTCACCTGGAGGAGAGCTATGTGCATTGTATCCACTCGTTCAGCAAACGTGTGCAAAGGCCTTTTGTGTGCTTAGCTCTGTGCCGAGCCAAGCTGGGGACACAAGTCAGATATGGTTTCTGTCCTCACAGAGTTCTTTATCTTGGAGGGAAACAAATATAAACCATTAGAATATAAAGCTGATAGGTGCTTTAATGGGGCAGCTAAGGGTAGTGTCAAAGCCCAGAGGAGGAATGAATGCCAGGAAAGATTTCACACAAGAGAGTAACGCTCAATTTGAAATCTAAATCAAGAGTCAGTAAACATATTCTGTAAAGGGCTAGATAGTGAATTGTTTCAGCTTTGTGAACCAGTCTCTGCCACAGCTATGCAATTCTGCCCTTGTACCATGAAAGAAGCCACAGATGATACATAAATGAAGACACAAATGAAAGCTGTATTCCAATAAAACTTTATTTACAAAAGGAGGTGGCAGACTGGATTCGGCCTGTGGGATGTAGTTTGCCAACCCTGGTCTCAGTGATGAGTAACAGGCAGTCAACAGAGATGAGTGAAGGTGGGGAGGGCTTTACAGGCAGAGGGAACAGAGTGCACGAAGGCTGGGAGGCAGGAGACCCATGTGTTCTACGACTAGAACACAGTTCCTTTCCCACATATCTTCTAAGACTTCCCATGTGCCCAGTCCTGTGCTTGGCTATAAGTTAGATCCAGACCCTGCACTTTGGGAGACGCTGGCTGGTGGGAAGAACGTGTGCAGAGAATCGTGGTGGTCAGGACTGGGACTCTATGGGAGCCTCAGAGCAAAGCCTTAAGTACTTAGAAGGAGCCAGTCATGTGAAAATCCACAGAAAGAGAATCCTGGGTGGGGGGAACCACAGGGGTAAAAACCTGAGGTGCGAGTGAGCTTGCATGTTTGAGGAAGGGGTGAGGCCAGTGTGGCTGGAGTAGAGTGAATAAGGAAGGAGGTGGTGGATGAGGTGATAGAGGTGGGTAGGGGGCACATAGGGAAGGTAGGAAGAGGGGCATTGCTGGTGGAGGTGCAGTTCAGAATATGGACAGAAGGTGGCACCAGCACTCTCTTATTTGTGGTGAGCCCAGAGTTGGCTGCGTCAGCTTCTGAGAGGCTCTTTAGGAAGTCTGGAGAGCTGGTAAGCCTGCTAGTCATCACCGTCCTCTACCTGCTTCATTCAGGTTGACTACAAGGCCAATGAGTGGCTGATGAAGAACATGGACCCTCTGAATGACAATGTGGCCGCCCTGCTTCACCAGAGCACAGATCGGCTAACAGCGGAGATCTGGAAAGACGGTGAGGACCGGCTTCCCTGGCCCTGTCCCTGGAGGTCTGAGCAGCCCTTCTCCCAACCCACAGTGTGAGCACCTTTGTTTCAGAGGCCAACGTCTGAACCTGAGTTATCTGCTTAGACCCAGAGCTTTCTCACAAATAGTGTTTCCAAGCAGTGATTGATTGATTGATTGACATCTCAAGCCAGCATCATACTCAATGATAAAATACTTCATTAATTAAAAGCAAGACAAGGATGCCTTCTGCTTTTAAACAGTGTTTTTAGCAATACTTGTCTATGCAATCAGACCAGAAAAAGAAATTAGTATATGAATATTTTAAAGGAAGAGGTAAACTTGTTATTCATAGATAGCATATGTTCCCTAAAAAAGTAAAAAGATTCTACTGAAAAACAATTAATAACGAGAAGAGAACTCAGAATGGTGATGTTTTGCAGGTTAGTCAACTTTTATGTTTTGCTCTCTTTGATCTCACACAAAGTCCCCTTCAAGCTTCCAGGGAAGAGTAGAGGAACCACAGCCTGAGACATGGTTTTGGAGGGTTTTTGCAGTCCAGTAAGGCCTCTGTGAATTTGGCCATCAGTCTTTTGGGACTGACGCTTCTAGGAGACATCGTCAGAAAAGCCAAATGCCTTTGTGGTAGGACTCCGACATTTCTAAGTCTTGTCTGCTGCTTCTCATCATTAGAGGACATTTGAAAAATAGTCTTATAAAACAGGCAGAATCAGTATCTTGGTTTTTCCTGATTCCAAATTTCTGGCATTTGTCAGTTTGTCCTAATATTTTATTGAAGTGAAAAGCATAGCTGTAGAAGCACCAGCCCACGCAATTAGGCAAGAGAACAAAATAAGTGAGGTGAGTGGTTCCCAGTGCAAACTCGTAGAGCAAGAGCGTGGGGCGCCTTCATTTTGCCAGCTGATGTTAGAAAAAGAAATTCGATTTTATTGTCTCATATAGTTTACACAAGAGGAGTTGAAAAGCAGTGTTTGATGCTGAGTCACAGAACCGGATTCTGCTGTGGAAGTCACCTACTCCAGACTGAAAACCGACCTTGTTTCTTTAAAATTTGTGTCCCCTTCATGGGCACACGATTCCCTCCAGTCATCCCTCACTTGTCCCACTCTGTGTGTGGCTATCTCTAAAAGGGTTCCAAGAGAGGAAGTGAAAGCTGCAAAGCCTCCTGAAGTCTAGGCTTGGAGCTGGCACAGTGTCACTTCTTCCACAGTTATCCTAAACAAAGCTAGTCATAAGGCCTGTCCAGATTCAAGGAGCTGCAACTTGCAGGCCCAGGGTGTGAAAACAAGAAGATGGGGAATTGGAGCCCTTTGTGCATCAATCTCTGCTACAGCTGCTTGAGCTCAGAGTTCAGTGCCCAGCATCCTGGCAACACAATGGAAAAGCTCTCCTCTGAGAGGCAGTAGCAACAAGTGGGCTGGGCGTGTTAAGTTAGCTCTTGACTTTCCTGGCAACCATGGCAAAAAGAGATACCTAATAAAACAGACAGACTCTCAGCCTTTAGGGAGAGAGAGTTTCTATTTTCCCTTGCACTCAATTCTCACAGAGGAAATTCATCCTTCTAGCCAACATTGAATGCCCTCAGTGTAGATGCTCTGGAAGGAATCCCCGATGTAGATAACAAAGATGAACAAGACTTTAAAAGTTTATGGCCAAGGGGCCGGCCCGTGGCTCACTCGGGAGAGTGTGGTGCTGATGACACCAAGGCCACAGGTTCGGATCCCATATAGGGATGGCCGGTTGGCTCACTGGCTGAGCGTGGTGCTGACAACACCAAGTCAAGGGTTGAGATCCCCTTACCGGTCATCTTTA